CTTGGAGAGGGAAATCATGCTTGGTAGGGTAGAGGGACAGCGCAGGAGGGGAAGACCCTCTATGAGGTGGATTGATTCAGTGACTGGGGTAATAGGGATGGGTGTGTCAGAGGCAATGCGATTGCCACAGGATAGAGCAGGGTTTAGGGCTGTTGTACATAGGGTTGCTATGAGTTGCAAACGACTTGATGGCACATAACAACAAACCCTGAGTTACCCTCCTGCCACCCTTTGCCCCTTTGACTTTTGTACACATCTTACTAGGAATCCTTCTATTTTTACAATAATAGTCTTACGCAGTAATTGTCTTTATAAGACTAAATTCACTCAACAAAATGCTCTCCAGCTTCTCCCATGTTATACATTATTTTTCAAAACCATTCCTTCTCAGTGCTGCATAGTATTTCATCATTTGATTGTACAACAGTTTCTGAATCCATTCATTTAGTGATGGACATTTGGGCTGTTTCCATCTTCTTGCTCTTATGAATAATGCTACTGTGAACATCAGTGAACCGATTATGATTTGTCTCAGTTTTCATTCTCTCAGAGTATATTCCTAGCAGTGGAATAGCTGGGTCATATGGAATGACTGTGTTCAGCTTTATGAGGAAATGCCAAACTGCCTGCCAACGTGGTTGTACCATTTTACATCCTACCAACAGTGTACGAGAGTTCCAATCTCTCCAAATCCTCTCCAACATTTATTGCTTACTGTCCTGTTAAACTCTGCCACTGCTGCTTGGGTGAGATGGTATCTCATTGTGGTTTCGATTTGCATCTCTCTTATTGCCGGTGATTTGGAGCCTTTCTTCATGTGTCTGTTGGTGATCTAACTGTCTTCATCTGTGAAAAGTTTTTCCATATCTTTTGCCCATTTTGTAATTGGGTGTCAGTCTTTTACTTATGGACGCCCAAGAGTATTCTGTAAACTTTTACTTTGAGATTCTTGTCTGAGATGGTATTGCTAAATATTTATTCCATTTGGTTGGTTTTCTTTTCACCCTATT